TGGGAATATAGGGAGTATTGGGAATATAGGGAGTATTGGGAATATAGAGGGACAGAAAGTGTAGGAAATAAAGGCAATAGAGGACGTATAGGGAATATAGAGGATATATGAAATACGCGAAATATAGGAAGTATCGGAATATAGGGCCTATAGGAAATATAGGGAATATGAGAAGTGTAGAAAATACCGAGAATATAGGCAATAGAAGAGTAGAGAGAATACAAGGAGTATAGGGGATACAGAGAGTTTAAAGAGTGTCGACGTATACAAAAAAAAAGCAGCAGTGCAGTTTGCACGGGTTCTGCCTAGTGACTTGAATATTTACATATTACTCATCTTCTTAATAAATTAGATCGTTTAATTATTGAACTTAAAATGGGTCCACTTGAAGTTTATTTTCATGTTTGTGCTATTCTTGAACATTTGAATGCTGTTGTTCCTGAATATGCTCAAAAATGTTTCATCAACAATATTGAGAGTTTTTTTACTCCTAACCCTGGCCTAGTGTCCACTGTGCGAAAAAGATGGAGGAGTCAACCCTACTCAATCTTCAGAAGTTGTTTTCTTCTGCCCGCCATTTTATAAAAATTTCTCAAAAATTTTTTGAAAATTTCTGTAATTTATAAAAGCTTTTAGAAATTTTTGCAAAGAAAATCGTCGACCCTTCTCCCAATATATTCCACTTCATGACAACTCTACAACTTGGAAACGAATATTATTTCAACGTATCTATAGATCCGACTACATTTACTGATAGTCTCTGCTTCTTACAATTTTATAACAAGTTTTTTAACTTTAACCAAATAAAACCAACGATAGGATATTAATCAATAATAGATTCCAGAATTTATAAGTGAATTTGTAAAACGTAGCAGCGATATAAATAATGTTTTTTTTTAATGTATAATTCATTATAAATTGCATTTTATTGTTGAATGGCATTGTCATGCTTCAAACTAGCTTTTATCAACATTTCTATCGTGAATATGAGCTATGTATATTTTTTTCTGATTGCTAAAAATAAATTAACCCCTTTGGTTAAAAGATGATAGGAATATTCAATTTCGTATGCAGGAAAGGAACTTGTGAACCCTCTTATTGTATGACCTACTGATGGGTGACATACTCATGAATGTAGTAATGTTTCATTGGTCAACTATATCTTATTGTAAAGATAAACACATGTCCAATTAAAAACATAACATATGATAAACATCATGACAAAAGAAGAAAGGCCTGACAAATGAACCAATAACACATAATGAAAAATGTTAGATAGAAAGAAAAAAATTTCTATCATCTATTCGTCATAATTTAGACAACAAAGAATCAATTCAAGTTAATTTAATTCTTTGTTGTCTAGTCTGTGTCGAGCCTAATATAATAATATCAATATTTGATCTTTCATTATTCTCTCAGACAGTGACAATATGAAAATGCGAGCATATAAAATCAATATGAATAAACATTATTAATTACATATGAATACTTCGAATAACAATCGTTTAACTATACTCGATTTACCTAATGAAATATTACTCAATATTATTAGCAAACTAAGTTTTATCGATGTTTTCTATTCACTTGTGGATATCAATGAACGATTTGATCAATTATCGCTTGATCCTCTTTATATTCGTCATCTTGATATGACTGTTATGACAATGAAATCATTTTTTGAATATACATTTTCAGTAGATGATCAGGTTCTTTCAAAAATATGTGAAAATATCTTACTTCTCATTCATTCACAAGTATATAAACTTACTGTTGAACAACATTCAACTGAATGTATTCTTCTGAATGTCAGTTATCCTAAACTTTACTCAATATCATTTGTTAATTTTCAAAAAGAAAAATTTCTTCACTATTTAACAGGTATATTATTAATAATTAGTTTAGTTCGTTGCATTTTATAAAATAATGAGACACAAAAATTAATTTTCATCTATATTCTTTTTATATTAAAGGTGATTAAATTCTTCGTCATCTTCTTAGTTAACAAATTACATATCTAAATATCGATATTGAGAAGAAGCGTATTGATATGAAAAATGAGGATCTCGGTGGTATATATAGTTATACATCACGACTGTGTGAAATTTCAAGGATATTTATATTGATTTTATCTTTATGTAAACGATTAATAAATTTGAATTTTTGTCAATTATTTTCTAAACGAAATGCGTCAATTTGTATTCATCAAATATCACAAACAAGATGTATGTCTGAAAGTTTAACTAAATTAAAAGTTAATGTCAAAGATTTTGGTGATTGTCTTTATCTTCTTGATTCCAATCTCAAATGCTTATCGAAATTAATTATTAATGTGGAACATATTGGACCTAAAGGAAATTTTACGCTCGCCACAGTAAGAGAAATTTCGATGGTTATTATTTGCGAAAATAACAATAATTTCAATAAAACAAAGACATTTTCTATTTTTTTTGTAGAAAAAACTTCCTAAATTGAAATATTTTTCATTGTGCTCGATTTATAAAACATTTAGTTATGATGATTTAATTATTCCATTACTCCATCGAATGATAAATCTTGAAGAATTGATATTATTTTTGTCTGTAGTAAGATTTAGCTCGGATGTTATTGATGGTATTCAATTACATGATGAAATTCTTGTTCATATGACACGATTAAATAAATTTACTTTCAGTATAAATACAGAACTTCTCATCAAAAATGATATTAAAACTGATATTACAACAAAAGAAAACATTCAACATAGTTTCATTGGTAAAGAATTTGGACAAGTTCAAGTTGGTTGATATGTCTATTATAAATGATTGTGTTCCATAATTGAATATCATATCTATACACTTCCATATCAATTTGAAAATTTTCTTCATCTAAACAATTCTTTTCAAGATAGGATGTTTCATAATGTTCGATGCTTGACGATGAAGGATGATACACATCAGAGGTCCAAGCAGGCCTACTTTTCTTAGGCCTGGCCTGCCTGTGACAGGCCTACACCCTGCCTAGCCTGCCTGTGCTTGTCAACTTTTTTCTTTGGCCTGGCCTGCCTGCCTGTTAGTTTCTGCGGCCTGCCTGGCCTGCCTGTGAAGGCCTGTCTAATTTTTTGAAGCGAATATCATGTTAACAATAAAATATAATTAGATAATAACCTTCATAGAAAGTCCAACAAATCAATGGAATCATTTTAGATGACCAGGAAAAACTCTCTTAAGTGAATATTGAAGCAAAAAATTTAGAAGTATTTACTATACAGACGGCTTGCCCTTCATCTGCAAGTCAGAGAATATAAAATAGGAGTAGAACAAAAAATCGTTTACTTCAGAAAGCTTTTTCTAGTTGATCGAAGCCGCAAAAAAGAAGTTATATTTCATTATAAGGAGACTTTCACCAAGAGGTGATCGATTTCAAGAACGAATCGATCAGGACGTATTTAGATTGCTCACAATAATGACATGTTCACATTATGGGGACGTGGACGACATAAGGTCTTCCTCTACATTGAATACGAATTGAAAAGTATTGGTATCTCGAACAAACAAAGAAATAACAAATCATTGCAGTTGACAAAAACAATCTGGTTTTTGTTCAAAAATATTTTGGATAAAGACTAAAATAATCTTCCAGATCAACATTTAGCACTAAGTAGATTTTATGTGAATTTTAGATCTTTTCATCAACTTTTTCGTCTAAAAATAACCCTAAGCCTCCTTAAGATAATGCCAAAAAAATTAATAACATCGAAAAGTAGTTTCACCATTTTAATAAGTCCTAAGACTGCACAATGATACAAGAACACACCATAGGATATTATTACATCATCAAAATACCATTTTAACGAGATTCGTTTTTCTTACTCGATTTTGACGGAGACTAATAGTGATTTTTTCGACAAAAAAAACCCATGAGAAAATATAAAATTCATATACACCTAGTCAGTGTTAAGTAATTATTCCTCAGGTGATTGTAGCTTTTATCCAGACTGGACTTGTTCTGATTAAAACTTATGAAATACCAGTAAAAATACCCATGTAAAAAAAAATTATTAAAAATCAGATTAAAAATCGATTAAAATGAGACGATTTTAATCAGATTTTAATCAGATTTTTCAACCTTAAAAGATAGATTTTATTTTACTTAATCTTTTTTAATCGATTAAAATCTATTAAAAAACTTTAATAATCAATTATAATCGATTTATTTTAATAATCGATTTTGATCGATTAAAAAAAGATTAAGTCAAATAAAATCTATCTTTTAAGGTTGAAAAATCTGATTAAAATTAGATTAAAATCGTCTCATTTTAATCGATTTTTAATCTGATTTTTTTTTACATGGGTACTCAAAACCATGTCTGAGAACAGTATCACTTCGGTATTTTCGAGTAATCAGTGGTTTTTCTTCGATGCTTTTTTTAGCATTTCGGAGCGTTTAAAAATTTCTATCAAACTATAGGAACACTAGCGTGATCAACTACTATATTGATGGTTATTAAGAGATCTGCTTGTCATTAGTGGTACAATGTATAATACATAATGACCATTTCAAACTATCTGAGTATATTGTAAACAGGTGTAGCAGTTAATTCTACCAGTAATCATTTTCAAAAGGCTTGTATAAAGGTTTTGCGTAAAAACACAACCAAATCTTTCGATGAGAAAGATTTAATCACCTATCGAGCTCCTCCTCTGTCTTGATAATCTCTTGACATTAGTAATAGATTTGATTATTTATGTTTATCTTCAATATTTATTCTCAAGTATTTATCTAACCCATCGTATTTAAATCTTATCCTTAAAAACTGCCTCAAATGAATCTCTTTTTTACTAATAAATTTAGTTTATTCAATAAAATTTTCATATCGAAAAAAGCATAGACAGGCCA